ATGGATCCTTGCCCAAGCATAGTCATTGTGGCCCAAAAAACACGGCGAACATTACAGCCCAACACCATTTTTGTTTCACAAAGATTCTGGCTCGATAGAGCAAAATTGCTTTCATTTAATTTGTACTTTCAGTATTAAGTAAAACCCCTTAAAAACCTTGAGATTTGGAACAGTTAGGAGTCCTGGCGCATGGAATAACATTCTAGCACAGATGGTCATGAAATCCCAAAAAGAATTGATTTCAAACATCCAAAATCATCTAGCTAACTTCTCATATCCTTCGGCCAGCACATAGATACTGTCACAATTGACCTCTGTCCCTCTGTTGACCAGGTCCACCACATGTTGGAGCCACACCCCACACATGTCACGACATACATCAGTGTCATTCCCTCCACCACCCAGATAAATATGGTCCACCACCTGCCGCTTTGCCCTCAGCTTGTTGACCAGGAGTCGGGCCATGCCCAGATTGCGGAACTGGGAGATTTGATAGGGAGGTGGAGAGGCGGTGTTGAGGTTGGGATAAGTTGGATCGTAGAGATAAACCTGCCACCAAATTAGTATTGTGAATAAATAATAAATAAATAATAAATAAATAATAAATAAATAATAAACAGTAACGTACGGTGCGCTGATGGTAAAAAGCGGCGCAACAATGCCAGGCCCCCAGGCCAGCTTGATGGTCCCTTCGATGGGACTCTTTTTCTTCATCTGTCCACTCTGAGGTGTATTGTTGATATAAATTGGTTTGTTCGAAAATTATATTTGGTGGGGTCGCTAGGAGATACAAGGTCCCTTTTTGCCTGGAGAGGCGAGCTGCACCAGCCACTGTTTCAAAGGCGGCAGAGGGGGCCATTTCCTCTGCCTCTGCGCAATCCCTTAGCGACTGGTTGTGGTTAAGAGTTGCACTATCTTTGGCGCAGATTTCGCGAGGGACGATGCTAAGTTTGCTTATGGCCGCGAGCTGCTGCAGAAACACATGCACCTCAACAATAGAGGAATCTCCTTGGAGCGACATTGTATTCATGAAGAATGCTATTATTATAAAGAGAGCGGAGGTGGAAAAGCATCTAGAGGTTTATAACTAGTGGTCTATTACTACGGAAGTATTTCTATAGCAGGAGTGGACAGGAGATTTCTATAGCAGGAGCGAACACAACACTACAGAAAAAGAGCGATAATAAAATGGAAAGAGGAACAGAAAGAGGAATAGAAAGAGCGACACAGAAGAGGTCTGGAAGGGAACAAATAAAAGGAGGAAAGAGCAATGTCAAATGGTCAGAGGTGGTCAATCAGAAAGGACGACTATAGTTAAGGACCAGCAAAAGTACCACTAGAAGGAGCGATACAGTTAAGGTTAGGAAAGTACTTGGCCACGGAGCAGAAATGATTCTGGCTATCTTAAGCATTGAAGAATAAAGGATTTAAATAAAATAATAAAATAATAAAAACCCTAAAGAATAAAAAAATAATAAATTAAAAAAAAATAAAATAAAAAAAAATAATAAATTAAAATAAACCCCTTGAATATTTTAAGACCATACTTAAACCTCAATTATAGAGTCTCTGATGGCGCACACCACAAAACAAAATTTCTCACGACATTCTTGAGATCCCTACCCTCATAACCATATCATTAAATTTTTTAAAAATAGCACCACTGCAGAAGCGTAAATCTTCAAAGACAGAGAAAAAAAATAAAAAAATTAAAATGGTTTTGGAGATCTTCTAGGCATTTTAAACCTATGTTTTGAAACTCAGATTTGGAGGGCTACATGGGAGCGCACCTCCAAAATAAATTTCCCATGACATTCTTGACATGTACATCTCTACCACCACACATTTAGTTTTTCTATACACAGCCCCGCTGCAGAAGCGTAAATCTTCAAAAATTCAGAAAATAAAATTATTTTCCAAATGGTTTGGGAAGGGTTTAAGATGCTCAGATTTGGATATTCCTGGCTAGATCCTTGGGACAGGAGAGATGGTGATGGTAATCAAGTTCATTGTTCAGCCATTAGCGAGCTGCCAGAATGCAAGTTATGTAAGCTAGTTCAGGTACTCCCCTTCCACCATCTCATCATCTGCGACCCCAGCCGAACCCAATCTCAACCCCATCTCCACAATCTCCTCATCAGCCTCCACGGATTCCTGGCGCCGATACTCCAAATACCCCTCGTACACGCTCTCCAACCAGTTGTCCTGGTCCTCTTCCTCCTCCTCGGCCTCCTCTTCAGCCAGGTAGCTCTTCTCTGTGGCCAGGGCAAATGTCTTGCGCGGGCAACCCCTCCTGCCCTGTCACAAGGGCATGCAATGCTTGCCCTGCTTCCGCTCTCCCACCTTGGCGATGAGCGCCTCTCTCTTCTCGATGGGCAGCGTGCCAAAGAATGATGCGATCCCGATCTCTGCCTGATTTCGCAGGCCCAGCGCCCTCTGTCGCGACTCCTCCTGGCCCAGACGGATGCACCCATTGCCTGGGGCGGTGGGTGGGATGCGGGTGATCACCGAGTAGCAGAACCCTCCCTTCTCAAACCGAAAGCCATAGACGGGCACGCGGGTGCGCACAGAATCCCGAGTCTTCTTGGGCAGGGTGGCCGGGTCGATCAGTCCACGGTCCACCATGTCTTGCACCACTGCATTGTCCATGAGGACGCCTTGGCTGGTCTTGCGATAGACCTTGGTGAAACTCCCACGGATGTATCGACTGACGGTGAGGGGGTGCCAGAAGGCACTCCCTCCACTTGCGGTTGCTGGCACTCTCTTGCAATACTCAGATTTGGGATCGCGGGC